CTTGTCCTGGCAAGAGTCACATTGTGTTTTGTCTTAAGTTGGGGGACCAGGACATAGTCGACAACCCTTCATCTTTGACAACACGATTTAGGATTAGGATATTCAAGCAGCTATTGCGGTTTTGAAACACTCTGCTGATGAAGACACTGTCCGTGAGAAGATGAAAGCTACCTTCACTTATTGCCAAGAAATGGTCAATGAGGAAAGCAGAGGTCTTTTTGGTTTTCCCACATTTTCTGGACACACCAGGACTTGTACAACATCTTAATTCAATTATTTCATGGCAATTTCCAGTATAGCCACAGTGCAGCATCTCTCATTGTTACTCTTTGTTTGCATGTGTCTGTGTTACAGATTGAGCAAGATTTCAGACTTCTATTTGGAAAGACCATTGCCAACAAATTCTTGGAGAAGTGGCCAACTTCTTTCAAAGCTAAAGTAATAAAGGAAAGTCATGGACTTGATTTGATGCGCAATGCAGAGTCAGTGGCTGTAGTTGAGAATGGTACGACATTGTTTACTTGATATTTCTGGTTGCACACGTGTGCAGTGCCCTTTTTGGTAATGGTTCAACTTCTCAAATTAATGTGCTGTGATGTTAACACATTTTTGGTTTACATAACTCTATCTGTAGGCTCTCTCCCCTATCTAAAGCCAAAGGCGCTTCAACATCGCTCCCTAATGTCGACATCACACTCAACACAACACTGCTACACTTTGCCAGTGGTGGTGGAAGGCAGAAACGACTATATGGCGTTTTTAAATGCATTTTTCTTTACATTAATCTCACACACAGTACACTTTGCCAGTGGTGGTGGAAGGCAGAAACGACTATATGGCGTAACCCGATGGGGGCATTATACCCGATGGGGGAAATGTTACAGTAAAATTCAGGGAAAAAATCCTGCCGACATTACCTTTAACCACCTGTTGTTGTTTTTTTTCACATGCTTTGCACTTAGACCTCTAAAGATTAATGGGATTTTAGTGTAACGTTAGGCTCTGTTTAACGTCTTTGTATTTTATATTTCCTACATACTGTGGACTGACATTATTGATATGATATAAAACAAAAGGAAAGAAAATTTCTACGGGGATAAATTATACATGACAGATGTTCATTTCTAAAGTTGAAATCAAACTTCACTTTAAAACGCTTCGTTTCCTTTTTGTGCTCTGCCTTTAAAACGTGATACAGCGATAGCGTCTTTGGTCCTTGCATCAGGCGGTCAGAGAAGGAGTCAGCGTTGCCATGATATAAGCTGCGGCTGAGCTCTATAATCAGTGTTCTCAGAGACGCACACAGACTCTTATTGTGCCCGAAAATTATAGCATAGGAGGCTGAAGCGCAGTAACTCACCGATGTGGATGACTGAATCCGACAGCACAGACTTCCACTGCTGGCTCCAAAATACGACAACAAGCAGCATGACCAAGAGAACATTCATGGTGTCCAAATATTATTTCCCCCAAAATATGAAAAGCAAGGCTCTGCGAGTCAGAGCGGCCAGAGTTACAAATCCTAGAAACCGGATCTTCTGTTTCTAGTCCATCAGTGGGGCGGTGAAGTAAAATTCCTTGTAATCTGCGCCTCTGTAGTGTGATCTTCACCTGACAGTGGTCTGTGGATGGAATTCAGCAGAGATCCCCGGGAAGACGCGCATACCGGTACCCTGTTGAAATTTGTGCCAACATTAAATACCGTGTACGAGCAGACAACAACCCGCATCCAAACGCCGACGCGTCAGGGCAAGCTGTGGAGCCGTAGAATCATTTAAAGAAATACAACTGTAGCCATTCGACAACGCCAATGGAAACCTTGTTATCTTTAAAAGCAGGTCTTGTTGTATGACCCAAAAAAGAAATCCCAGGCTGTCAGACCTGGCGACGCAGTTTCCCTCCTGCACCAATCACCAAATCACCTGCAGCAGCTGCGGGATCCTCAGCGGAGCAAAGCAACGACAAAACTTCAATTTTCCCTCTTTATTTTTCCTAAACTTGACCGCTCTTTGACAAGAACCATCGTCACAGACAAGTGTTAGAAGAGGAATAAATGCCACGTGATGAAAGCCCTGTCAAATGGCACAGCATGGTACAGGAGAGCTCCACAGACACTCGTCCTTTCTGTGTTGGGATAGGGAAGAAATGTGAGGCAGGCTGTCTGGAAAAAAACCCCAAGATGCGCGTAACGACACTCCGAGGTCCGCACTCCGTCTGCGGGCACTCGCGTCAGCCTCGGCGTTGAGGAGGTACCGCGTGCGTGTGGGTGAGAGAGAGGAGAGGGAGAGATAGGGAGGAGACCCAGGAGGGCGGAAAAAGGAGAGGGGCAGCAACTCTGAAGCTGCAGCAGTTGCCAGCCAAGAGGTTCATCCACCGTCTGGAATTACCTACGAGAAGAAGAGATGAGTTCTGGCTCCGGGGCAGGGAGGGGAGGGGGGTTGTGGGATGTACAACAGGGAGGGAGATGAAGGGATTCATCCAACTTCAGCTTTGCAACTGGCGCATCACACTCTCGTTTCTACAAGAGCTGGTGATCAGGTGCCAATTAGGGAAGGTTATCTGGTTGTTCTCTATCTGAGTTGATTCTCATCGTTTGATGTTTTCATCTGCCATAGTTTTCATGTTAATTATCATTCAATTTTACAAATGTGTAAACAGACAAGTATACATGTAACCGGTGTAGCCTCTGCGTTGTGTTTAATGAAAGCCGTCGTGCTGCTGTCACCAACGCTTTATTGATCTGACGGAATTCACATAGAAGAAAACAAATTTTCCTCCTGGACACCACCCGAGCCCCTACAAAGTGCA